TGTAATTGTACTTTTTATATTTTTGCGACCTAAAATCATTAGTACAGTTTTTTACAACTTTTAAGGGAACATAATGCCATAGTACTTCCATTTGATACCTCAAACTTATTAATAACATTTATTTTACATTGTACAATCTTAACATTGATTCAAACTAATTTGTTTGCAATTTTGTACATCCTACACATAGAAGATTTATATTGTTTTAATTGCGATCTAATTTGGATAATTTGAAATTAAATTGTACAATTTATTGAAGAACGATTTATAAAAGATTAGAAGCATTATAATACTTCTGTGAGCAGCTATATGCATAATTGTTGTGCATCAATGGTTTTCTGAAGCGAAGATCTAAGCTAACACTGTATATATATATATATCCTAAAGATATTTTACTAGTTATAAATGTATATGTGTTGTATTGTAAAGTACAGGCAGGTGATGTACCAGCTGACACAGTTACACGCTAATTGGTGACAGATTAATTATGTGTACATATGTATTTCATAGGATGCGTGATAAAACGCTGTGCGTACCTAATTATATCATAAGGATTGACAGTAAGAATGCCATACATTATTTTAAGAGCTCAAGATGGTGTCAACGATCGAGTGACATAATCTTATTGTCGACCTTAGTGAGTAGAGCACAATTGATGCCATCGGCGTACTGTGATGGATTGTTAAGTGACAGAATGCTATGATAACAGGATATCTTGTGATAAAACTGGTCACAAAACAATGTTGAGACTTATAGGATACCAAAGAAAGCAACAGTAGAACTCAAGTTGAATTTCTATATGCATAGAGGACACTTCTTTAGGAGATGGATCAAATAGTGCCATTTTTTACCAGTAGACAGGTTGAGATTACTTTCCAAAATGCAACTCAGTTAGAGTTTGGAAGCTGTATAGAGAAACATGTAGAATCTAGAAGACTCTCTGCAAATTTAATTATTATGAGAACACAGAATTATTAAAATTGGTTTGACTGCATTTACACAGTTGGATGAAGACACATACATTGCCATGTACGTTTTCTGCCATGCTACAACCTCTTGCAGCTGTGACTTCTACTCTTTACAACTTTGTACAACATGGTCATCTAACTCACATGAATAATTTTTTGGAAATATGTAGTACAATATGGGATAAAAGGCTAGATGTGTTACAGTTAAATATTTTTGAAGCTATAAAATGACTGAAGAATGATATCAAAAATATGATTATGAAAAATAATGAAAATTTCATTACCTATTTATGTGAATGATATGTCACCATTCATTCGTGTAGTTTCATCCACAATTTTCTTGGACGCTCCACTCTAACAATGGCTGGAAGTGCTCAATAGCATACAGTGCCATTTAAGAAATTTCAGTCTTCACCCAAAAAAATTTAAACAACAGATAAAAGATTTATACATTTTATTTTATGTCAATGAGCTTTACTATATATTAGGGGGACCGGAAAGTTATGTCGTTACATTAAATTCAAACAGTTAAATATGCGCAGAAACGACATTACTTTCCGGTCCCCCTAATATATCTGTACAGATTACTAAAAGATTGAAAAAAATTCAAAATGTCCTATATAGCTTAACATTGTTACTTGGTCGCCATGTTTATTTATAGATGCTACTGTGTACATAGACTGTGGAAATGTATTAAACCGAAAAATGTTGAAAGTTCCAAATAAAATTTAAATAATGTTTTCTTGTAATTTACACGTCTGCATATGCAAGGAATGCATAAAATCCACAACCTACAAATAAGCCTTGTAAAATTGTTGTTATTATTGATCATGAAGAACTCAGACTTTTATGCATTCATCAACGCAGACTTTTATGCATTCTGTATAAACATTCCAATAG